CTGAACAAGGAATTCTCTCAGGTGCTCAGTGTTTGTGTGTCAGTGCTGGCTGGCACTGAATTCCCTGTGGATTTGATCCTTACAGATCCTAATTCTCTCTCCAGGCACATAACCCCACGCTCGTGTTCCAGCAGTGCCATCAGCCTGACCAGCTCTCTGCAGTTTTCACCCAGTTTTCACCCAGCCTGACTGACACACACCACAGAAACCATTCCCTGGATACCTTTCCAGGAATCCTGACCAGCACAGCTATTTCACAGGAGTCACTTCACCCTCTGGAACCAACACAGAGCCCATGAGTTTTACCTCAGCCCCAAGACCCTGATGCTCCAGTCCAGCTGCAGATCAGCTCTCCTCCCACTCCCTAAGCTCAGCGTACCAAACACATGGAATCACCCCATCAAGGGAGGGAAAAACCTAAACTTCCAGCACTTGGGAAATGCCAGGAGGGTGAGGAGGAGGGTAGAAGGAGAGCAGCCACAGTGCTGCTGAGAACCAGCTCCGGCAGCTCCTGCTTCCCATCCCTTGCTCCATCCCTTGGCTCTGTGTGGCTCAGCTTGCAAAGGAAATATTTCTTCCCTCCTGGGAAAGCTCCAGAGAAGCATGGGCTGCACATTTCAGGCTGCTGAGGAACACAATAGGCAGCGTCTCCTCGGCGGGACAAACTGCCAGCCCCCAGCTCTGGGACAGGCAGTGGGAAATCTCCTTAAAAACCCTGGATTTGGGGAAAAGGGACAGAGCTGCTGGTCTCACTGGACAGTCAGAGCGAGCTGGAAATCAGCTGCCACTCGGTTTTCCCTAGGCAGCTTGCTGTGCTGTCGTGGCTCCAGCTGTGGGGTGTCCCAGGAGGAATCCTCGGGTGCCTGAGCTCCATGTTTTCCATGGGGAATCTCACACAAGCCACAGTTGTCTTGCAGGATACAAAAAAAAAAGACTGTATTAATACATCTTGTTGTGACAAAACACATCCCAAAATAAATATCCACTACAGAAGTGGTAAGAAACCACTTTCCCTGGGAAGCACCAGCCAAGCCAGAGGTGAGTCAGCAACCTCCTGTTGTCCTCCTGCAACCAGGTCCATGTTGAAGGGATAAAAAACCCACAAAAAAAAAAAAAGGAGTGTTCACTTCTCCCCAAACTGGTCAGGATTTTACAAAGGGAAACACTGCAGTGCCTGCTGGTTCCCTGGGTTTTATGACATCTCCACTCAAAACATTTCCAAACTGATAAGGTGAGGGGAAAAAAGGCCTCCTGAGCACCACAGAATGGAACACACTTCCCTTTTCCATAGCCCTGTTGATAAGGAGAACTGATTTTTCCCCTCTTTTTATTCCCCCCCTGTTTGCTGCTTGTTCTGGAACAAGTCAGGTCACCTCAAGGCAACTAAGCAAGGACAAAACAGCCCTGGAGAGGGTTCTGGCTCTGCCAGGGCTGACCTAGCCCAGGGATGCTCCCACAGCCCAGCCAGAGCCTCAGCCTGCCAGGATTTTAGGACAGGGCAGGGAGCAGAGGGACTGGCACTGTCACACAGACACACAAACCAAGCTGGGAGCACATCAAACAGAAAGGAAGGTGCAGGGAGAGGAATGGCAGGAAGAGTGGGAGCTCCTGCAGCCAGGGCAGAGGGACTGCTTGCTTTGGCTTGAAAGAGGCACATCAGATAACACTTCCTGACCAGGAGAGGCCTAAGGAAGGGGCTGAGCAACACAGCACAGAGCCAGGGAAAAGGGACTTCAAAGCCACTCACTGCTGCACAGCCCCAGCAGCAAGTCCCTTCTCACGCCTCATTGTGTGTCCAAGTGGCCTCTGCCCCTTGTCACACTGTCACACAGAGCACAGGGCCAAGCAAAGGGCAAACAGCACACAAACCTGGACAAACATAACTGAGTTTCACCACAACCATCCCTGCTTGGCTCCCCATGGACCAGCACCTGGAAAAACCCAGTTCCAACAGTGCAGCGAGGCTTGGAAACAAAGTGCTATTGGACATGTGCAGAGTTTGTGAGATGCTGATAAACTGACCTGTGATCAGGACCTGCAGGTGCCCAACACACCTGGTAAATTAGGGAGAACTGCAGGGATCACCTGGACTGAGGATCTCCACCTCTGCCAAAACCTCTGCAGCATCACTTGGATTGAGGAGCTCTACCTCAGCCCAAAACCCTACATATCACTCAGATTGAGGAGCTCTACCTCTACCCAAACCTCTACCCATCACTTGGACTGAGGAGCTCTACCTTCACCCAAGCCCCTTCAGCTACCTTCAGGGCCACTTTTGAAAAGATTTGTCTTCTGAAACGCTACTTTATTACCAAAAATGCAAGGCAGAAAAGCTCTTTCCAACCCAAACTCATCATTCTCAGATTTCCTCAGCTCAAGCAAGTCACTCCAAGAAGAAAGCCAAACTGGGAGCCACAGGTGTGATATTCACAAGGATCTCTCCTTCACAGAGTCAGTCAGGTTGGAAAAGACCTCTGAGATCATCAATTCCCTCCTATGACCTAACACCACCAAGTCAACTAGACCATGGCACTGAGTGCCACCTCCAGACTCGTCCAGCTCCTTGGACACAGCCTGGGCAATAAGCTGCCTGCGAGGGCACCAGCCCCTGCTGAGGGTCTTGGAATGCCTCCCTGCAGGGACAAATATCTCCCCATGGATTCTGGGGGAAGGGTGCTGGTCAGGCAGGCAGGGAGAGCCGCCAGGCCTCGCCGTGCTCAGCACCAAAGGGCAGTGTGAGGCACATTGTGGGGCTCCAGCGTGGGCCACATCCCAGCACAGGAATGCTGAGGAGGGCTGGAGACACTGCAGGCCATTCACACACAGCCCTCCCCCAGCACAAAGAGGGGAAGGGAAAAATGAAATCCATCATGAAGCCCACAAAAGCCAATTTCCTAACACAAACAGACTGCTGAGGATGTGCCTCCAGCTGCTGCTGGAGCAGGGATCAGCACAGCTCCACGTGGAGCTGAGCCCACACTGGGGGTACCCCACGACCAGGGCAGTGCCTGCAGCGACACAGGAGCAGCTTGGATAAACCTTCCAGGAGAAAGGGCAGGAAGAGGGAAGCAAAGAAATCAGCAGGATCGTTCCCGTTCCAGCAGCCTCACGCAAAGTGAGTTAACAGAGCTGCTCCCAAACGGCCAGGAATGAGAAAATTCTAGGAATCCCAAGGACTTGGATGGTGAAAAGCCAAATAAAACAAGAGATTGTTTCACAAGGAAAAAGAAATCCTTTCTGCTCATCCCATTAATCACTGAGTTCAAAAAGGCACGAGGCTGGGCCCAGCATCACCCAGAGACACCACGGGCTTGGAACTCCCTCCCAATCCTAGGGAGCATTTCTGAGATTCCCACTGAAACATGGCACTTTCCTGACAGCCACTGTCTTGGGAGCCTGGGCCAGATCCTCTCAGAACCTCAGCCTGGACGAATTCCTGGGAAAAAAACACAACTCCTCTCACTCTTAGGAGTATTAACCCTAGGGAGACTCCCAGCATCCATATCCCTGGCAAATACCTGGGACTGACCCCAGCACACTCCTGGGACTGTCCCCAAGGCCACTCACCCCAGGTGGGGGCAGAGCAGTGCTGCTCCACACTTGCCTGGACTCATGGACTCAAAGGACAAGGCACAAGGGATGAGCAAAAACCACACACAGGCCCCAGCACCAACACCAGCATGGATCTCCCCATGCAGCATCCTGGTGGTCTGAGAGAAGCAGGCTCTTCCCAGAACACTGGCTCCCTTCTCCTCTCCCACCAAAGACACCCTATGTTTTCCTGCAGGCCACCTCTCTGGATGTTGCTGTGTTATTGCTGTAGCTGTTCTGTGACCACAGGTAGGGAGGAGACACATCCCAAGCTCTGGAAGCATCCCAGAGCCATGGTCCAAGCTGAAGGAGAGGTGGGATGATGCCAGTCCCACGGGGGGCATATAAGAGGCAGGATGTGCTCCCAGGCAGGAGCCAAACCTGCTCCATCCTCCTCCCCAGTCGCCGAGCTGTCGGCAGGACTCCGATCCTCTTGCATTCCTCCTGTCAGCCCTTTGTTTGAATCCTTGGTTTTATTAGTCACCCTCTTCACCCACTCAGCAGTGTCTCCTGGAGACAGGCAGAGAAACAAGTGGAAACTTTCCAACAGTTGCCGCTGGAAAAGCAAAGGAAGGTAAGAGTTTGAAGGATGAAGCAGCAGTTTGAAGGATGAAGCAGAGTTGAGAACCTTGGTGGCACAGCAACCCCAAACCAGCTGAGCTCCTGGGGGTCAGAATGGCTCCAGAAAAGGCAGTGGAGCCCAGGGAGTACTTGATGCATTGGCAATGTGGAAAAACACAATAAAATAAATCCAGAGGGATCACACGGGGTAAGAGCAGAGTGAGAACAGTTCTAGCTCAATGCTGAGACCTCCTCAGCATCAGGGGACTGCCAGGCAGGGCAGAGCTAGCTCCCAAAGGA